TGAGTTAGAATTATATAATTGGAAAGAACTGTTATAATATGGAAACACAAAATCTTGGAATATCATTAAATTATTTTTCAAAACATTCTCAAGTCCATTTAAATAGCTTATTTATTCAATACTAGAACCACAGTTACCATACTTTATCTGTTTCGTGAAAACCTTATAAACTACTTTAGAAAGGTATTTCCTGGTCTGAAATTTAGACTGAAGTCTTTATTTTTTTAATGTTTATTTCTTAGCTGATCAGACAGGAATACACGTAAGGAAAGAAACAGACTGATATTTTCAGATTTCCTCATTCTGGACTTTTGTCTTCTGTACAAGTGGCAGGCTTTCTTGAGACAGCTGTTCTATGTGAAGAAATATAGTCCTAAGAACTTACTTTTCTTTTCTACTATAGCCACTCTAGATTTCCTTCTTTTTCACGCTTTTTCTTTGAGACTGATTCTTCCCTTGACCTCTAGATGCTCTTTTTTTTTTTTTTTTTTTTTTTTTTTTTTTTTTTTTTTTTTTTTTTTGCCAGGACCAGTTGAGGCCGTGGTCTGTAATGGTGTGTCTGACAGTGGTGACATGGGAAGGGAATGTGGATCTTATGGCTAGCGCCATGATCACCATTTCATCCGCTCCTTAGAATATCCTGACTTCCCAGCTTCTGTGATCCAATACATAGGCTATTTTCCTCTGAGGCACATAGGTGGATCTACTTAAATCTTTCCTATTCCCTATTAACTGCCAACAGCACAGCATTGCTATAAGAAATAAATTCGGCCGGGCGCGGTGGCTCAAGCCTGTAATCCCAGCACTTTGGGAGGCCGAGGCGGGTGGATCACGAGGTCGAGAGATCGAGACCATCCTGGTCAACATGGTGAAACCCCGTCTCTACTAAAAACACAAAAAATTAGCTGGGCATGGTGGCGCGTGCCTGTAATCCCAGCTACTCAGGAGGCTGAGGCAGGAGAATTGCCTGAACCCCGGGGGCGGAGGTTGCGGTGAGCCGAGATCGCGCCATTGCACTCCAGCCTGGGTAACAAGAGCGAAACTCCGTCCCTCCCCCCCCAAAAAGAAATAAATTCGTTGGCCTTGGTAACCATGTAGAGGACAGCAGGCAGGTAATGTCAGCTAAGGGAGGAGAACGAACAGCCAGCCTGGAGCTGGGGCTGTGTTAGCAGGAAGCTTCCAGAGGTCATCCGTCTCCAGGTCCTTTCATCCTGTCATTTGCTTCCCTGCTGAAACACTTGCTTCTGTTTACAGAGACTTGAAATAGGGCTTGCAGCGTGGAAGGAAGGGGCGGGGATGGCGTGAGCCTCTGATCTTGCTTCCACTGCAGGAAAGAGATTTTCTTGACATCTAGTTCAAATCTGTGATTAAAGTTTTTCCCCCACATATAATGTAAGATGGTACAAAATCATTTTTGTTTATTTCATGAATAGAATAAGGAAATTTGTAAATAGTTTAAATACATAAAAATGAAGTCTTATGTTTGTGAATGAACTTAAAGTTTGCAGCATTGTATCCGTGTATGTATAACAGTTTAAATGGTATTTTATTTTCCATTGAGTCACTAGTTAAGAATTTTTCCTGTTTTAATAATATGTATTATTAATTATTTATTTTTGAGACAGAGTCTCACTCTTGTCACCCAGGCTGGAGTGTAGTGGCATGAACTCAGCTCACTGCAACCTCCACCTCCCAAGTTCAAGTGATTCTCCTGCGTCAGCCTCCAGAGTAGCTGGGACTATAGGCACATGCCACCACACCCAGCTAATTTTTGTATTTTTAGTAGAGACAGGGTTTCACCATGTTGGCTGATCTCGATCTCCAGACCTCAGATGATTTCCTACCTTGGCCTCCCAAAGTGCTGGGATTACAGGCATGAGCCACTGTGGCCAGCCTGTATTTTCTTTAATTTTTTTTTTTTTTTTTTTTTTTTTTAATAGAGATAGGGATTTCACTGATTTGCCCAGGCTGGTCTTGAAATCCTAGCCTCAAACAATCCTCCTGCCTTGGCCCTCCAAAGAACTGGCATTACAGGCTTGAGCCACCATAACTGGCCTACTTTTTCTGTTTTTTAATTGATGAATTATTTTATGACTCATTTTTAAATTCACTGTGTCATGTTATCTCAGGGAAGTTGTAACATGCTTGTTGGCTTCTGCAAATAAGGATGTTCTCATACTTAACCTCAGTAAACCCATTAAAATTGGAAAATTACCATTGTTATGTTCCTAGAGCTCATTTGGGTTTATAGCCTTTGTATTTGACTCTATTTTTTTTTATAGCTTCCATCTTCTTGCTGGAATTCCTAATCTGACTGTGCATGTATCCACCTTTTCCACTAGATCCTTTAGATTTATTTACTTTTATTTTTAGAGTCAGGGTCTCACAGTGTCACCCAGCCCAGAGTGCAGTGGCACAATCTTAGCTCACTACAGCCTTCAACTTTTGGGCTCAAGCAATCCTCCCGCCTCAGCCTCCCAAGAAACTGGAACTACAGGTACATGCCATCATGCCCGACTAATTTTTTTTTTATGTTTTTGCAGAGATGAGTCTCGCCATGTTGCCCACGCTGGTCTCTAACCCCTGGGCTCAAGCAGTCCTACCACCTTAGTCTCCCAAAGTGCTGGGATTGCAGGCATGAGCCACTGTATTCCCCTTTAGCTTATTAATCATAGTTATTTTATAGTTTCCATGTGATAGTTTCAACATTTGGGTGTGTTCATTGTTTTGGCTCTTGACAGTGGGTTTTCTTCTTGCTATTTTATGTCATATTTTTTATTGAATTCTGGCCATTGTTTGTAAAAGAACAGTGACAACTGGGGTAAATAGTATTTATGACTGAGAATTGGCACTCCTCCTCTGTCAGGCCACTGGTGGTTTGTTGGTGGTGGATTGAGTCTGTTGAGCGGTTGAACTGGATTTGGCTTTTATTGCTGCACTGTAGCTACCTTCAGTTCAGCACAGACTTCAGACTCCTACTGTTATCTTGTGCATAGTGTAGGACCTGAAGTAGCAGAGGAATTTTTTGGTGTTTCTGCTCCACCTTCAGTCCTGTATACCTTTCCCAAAGGAGGAGTCTCTTCATGCCCCTCCTGCGAAACCAGGAAAAGGTCACCTTTGCTTATAACTCCACATGGGGGTACATGGGGACTCCTCTCGCCCCTTCTTCACACCCCTCCCCTCATTCCCCAGGGGCCTGGGGTATAGCAGTCCTCAGTTTTCAGGTTTGGCTAAAATCTTATTGTGCCCTGTATTCCTCGGGCTTAGGGGGGTTTTGTGATGGAAGCAAGTTTGCTGCCACTGCCCGGGTGGTAGATCTCTGCTTTATGTCATTTAAGGACTCTGGGCCCCCTAGAGTTTCTTGCCACCCACCCCCACTGCCCAGCAGTAGATATTTGCTTCTACCCCTTCTCTAGAGTGGTGGACTTTCGCCTGACACTGGGCTGGTGAGGGTGGGGGAGTGTGTGGGGCGGGGGAGTGGAGTTGCGCCCCTCCCGGCATTACATGCCTTTTGCATATACCCTTTTCTTAGAGGGAGTGGAAAAGTTTCCTGTCCCTTTCCCAGTGTCTGACAGGTTTTGCTTTTATGAGAGAAACTTCCGGGAAGTGAGTGGGGTTTTGTTCTCAGTACCATTAGCAGGGGCTCTCTTTAGTCTCCGGCTTTCCCCCAATCTTTCTTGTGAGCACACACGGAGGTCTGTGAAGAGTTGGGCAGTGACTATCTGGGGCTTCCGGAGATTCTACACTCAATACTAGCCGACCCCGGGACTTTCAGTATTTCTTAATATGTCACTTCTTCTTACCCACTTTTAGGGCATCTGCCTCTTCCTCCCACTCCATGTTTGTCTTTCCTTCAGTTTGCCTGGTTGCCTTGTGACTTCCGCTCCCTGACATGCTTAGGAAGAGAGATTTTGTGCTCCAGGGTTTTTCTCATCAATAGTGTGGGCGTGATGTTCTCTTGCGGTGACAGAGTTTCTCTTATTAGTAGCACTCCCCTTTTTTATATTTTTAACCCCTCCTCTAGCAGTGAAAACCTGGCTTCCAATATTCGTACTATATTGACTCATTTGATCAGTCCCCCGGTACATAACGCATCTCCCATCATCGATTGCCACCTTCCCCTACCATCATGGATGTCCTCTCTCCCTGCTTGTGCCAGGCCACCACTCTGTACGGTACCCTTGTTGGCTGCTCAGGCTGTGGTGCCCCATACCAGGCCACTGTCTCGGACTCTGTCCCCCCCTGCCAGGCTGCTGCTGGTTGTGGATGCCCCCATTGCACTCAGGCTCTGACCCCCAAGCTTTCGTGACCCTTGCCTCCCCGCCTTTTCCCCCTCAGGAGCCTGCACCCTGTGATAGGCTCTCTGTGTGCGGAGCCCTCATGACTACTCTGGCTCTGACTCCTCACTCTGTGCCATCTGTATGGGTGCCCTCCTCACTGGCACCAACACTCCAGGCTACCTCTCCACACAGGTGTCTGCTTCACTTTGGCCCCCCTAATGGCTTTAGGACTGATTTGTTCAAGACAGAAAGAGAAGAGGAAAGAGAGAGGGAAGAAGGGGAAAAGGAGAAGATAACCAAGAAGACTAGTCTACCTTTGTGAGAAGAGAATCAGCTACCAACCATCCTTTAGTGTAGACAAGTTAGACCGGGCACGGTGGCTCATGCCTGTAATCCCAGCACTTTGGGAGGCCGAGGTGGGCAGATCAGCTGAGATCAGGAGTTCGACACCAGCCTGATCAACATGGAGAAACCCTGCCTCTACTAAAAATACAAAATTAGCTGGGTATGGTGGCACATGCCTGTAATCCCAGCTGCTCAGGAGGCTGAGGCAGGAGAATTGCTGGAACCTGGGAAATGGAGTTTGCAGTGAGCCGAGATCACACCTTTGTACTCCAGCCTGGGAAAAAAGAGTGAAACTCAGTTTCAAAAAAAAAAAAAAAGAAAGAAAAAAAAATTAATGAATATATTTTAAATATTTGCATTTTGTCTTTCGAACAGGTTATGAAGTTCATGGAATGGAAAAAATACCAGAAGATGGACCAGCACTTATAATTTTTTATCATGGAGCTATTCCTATAGATTTTTACTATTTCATGGCTAAAATATTTATACACAAAGGCAGAACTTGCCGAGTAGTAGCTGATCACTTTGTCTTTAAAATTCCAGGTAAACTTTTGCTGTAGATTATAATGTAAAAATGTTTATTAACGAAACCAAGTTAGTCTCCATCTTGAGTTCTCTAATGTCATTTGAAAAAGTTTTTTGCCTTTTCACAGTGTATGTAACACACTTGGAACTCTAGTATGGGAATATCTAATTATCCTGTTTAGGCAATATATCTAAAAATAAAAACATAGCCCAAAATTTCTTTTTAAAAATTTTATACATTTTAAAATTGTTTAAGTGACAATTTTAAGTATGGTATACAACATAAGGTTCTTAAAAATATTTTTACGTTTTCTCTTTAAAAAAATATTTTTATATATTAAGAGGGTGTAAGTGCACCTTTCTTATATGTACATATTGTGTAGTGGTAAAGTCTGATCTTCTAGTGTAGGCATCAACTACATACTGAACATTCTACCCAATTAGTAATTTTTTCCTTTATGAGCAGGTATTCACTCGTTATTTTTCTAAGTTGTATCTTGAACTGTAATGTTAAAAAAAATTATGATTTTTGCCAATTTTGATTTAAAGGGTAGTTGATTTTTCACATGATGAATTTTTTCATGAAATACTGATTTTTGGAGTTTAATTTTGTTATAATTAGAGTTTGGTAACTCTCCGTTTGATAGCAAATTAGAATTAGCAAAAAAAAAAAGTCATAATATATTTTGTCTTGGCCGGGCGTAGTGGCTCATGCCTGTAATCCCAGCACTTTGGGAAGATGAGGTGGGCGGATCACCTGAGGTCAGGAGTTCAAGACCGGCTTGGCCAACATGGTGAAACCCTGTCTCTACTAAAAATACAAAAATTAACCAGGCATGGTTGCTAATAGACCTGCTGTAGGCCGAGCTAATCATGAGGCTGAGGCAGGAGAATCACTTGAACCTCGGAGATGGAGGTTACAGTGTACGGACATCATGCCACTGCACTCCAGCTTGGGCAACAGAGTAAGACTCTATCTCAAAAAAAAAAAAAAAAAAAAAAAGATCTATTTTGTCTTCACATAATATTATACTACCCTAAAGAGTATATACATCATGTCTCTTATCATATATGACTTGCCTGATGAGATTTATAACTCTAAGATTGAGGAATATATTTTATTTATTTATTTATTTAGATATGGGGTCTTGCTGTGTTGCCCAGGCTGGTCTCAAATTCCTGGCCTCAAATGATCTTCCCGCTGTGCCTTCAAAAGTTTTGGGATTACAAGTGTGAGCCACTGCACCCAGCCATGAAACTGCATTTAAAAAAATCTGTTTATAAAGGCTATATGTATATATAGCCTTTTCTTTTTTCCTTTTTTTTTTTTTTTTTTTTTTGACAAGGAGTCTTGCTGTTGTTGCCCAGACTGGAGTGCAATGGTGCAATCTCAGCTCACTGCAACCTATGCCTCCCGGGTTCAAGTGATTCTCCCACTTCAGCCTCCTGAGTAGCTAGGATTACAGGTGCCTGCCACTACACGCGGCTGATTTTTGTACTTTTAGATGCTGGCCAGGTTGGTCTTGAATTTCAGACCTCAGGCGATCCACCTGCCTTGGCCTCCCAAAGTGCTAAGATTATAGGGGTGAACCACTGCAGCCGGCTGGCCTTATATGCTATTTTTTTTAAAAAAAGGTTAATTAACCAGATGGCATAGAGTTTTACAGAAATCATTCTTGAATAAACTCGTTGAGATTAAATCTTATTTTCTTCTGTAACTGAATCACTAGAAACAAGCCAAGAGAGATGACAGTATGTCCTCTGGAATAAAAGCAGAAGCTGACACATCAATCAGACAAACACAACCAAACAATGAATTAAGTAATGATCTACTTCAATGCCTATATACAGTTAATGCTTTGGGTATCCATCCATCACTAAAAAGCTATTTGTATTTTGTATATAAACTATATTGGCTATGTTTTCTGTTAAAAACTAACATGATCACTATAGTAGATTTGGAAGTTAACAACCAACATCATAATTTTACCTTCTTAACATAATGTTATTTTGATTTATTTTACTTCATTGTTTTACTTTGTCACATAGGCAAACAATTTTGTGGGATTTTTAAGATTTAATGTCAGCATTAACATTTTTAACATGTTTTATAAAAAAAGATTTAGTGTATGACTAGAACATTTACTTAACTGTTTTCTCTTACGGAGCATTAGGTTGCTGCTTTTTTTGTTGTTTTTAGGAGTAATAAAATGTGAATATTTATAGCATTTGCCTTTTTCAAAGAATTTCTTTCCCTCTTTATGATCTTTTTAATATTTTGATGCTGATTTACCTTAAGTCTTTCTTTGCTTTCTAAGGGAATAAAATTATTATAATTCTCAACACAAGAGAGATTTTAGGGTGGGTACCATGGCTCCCACCTGTAATTCCAGCGCTTATGAGGCTGAGACAGGAGGATTGCTGGAGCTCAGAAGATTGAAACCAGCCTGGGCAACATAGCCAGATCTCGTCTCTACTAAAAAGAATAATAAAAAAATCAGCCAGGCATGGTGGTGCAGTGCCTGGAGTCCCAGCTACTTGGATTGCTAAGGGAGAGGATCACTTGAACCCAGTAGGGCAAGGCTGTAGTAAGCTACTATTGTGCCCCTGCATTCCAGCCTGGGTGACAAAGCAAGACCCTGTTTCGAAAAAAAACAGAGATTTTATGTTTTTTTTTATTTATGAATCATCTCATGTTCATCCCTTCATTATGAGAATGCATCTAGTTGAATCAGTGAGCATTTAATGTGGGGTGACAATTATTTTATTTTACTTTTTTTGAAATTGAGTTTTGTTCTGTCACCCAGGCTGGAGTGCTGTGGCTCAGTCTTGGCTCACTGCAACCTCTGCCTCACGACTTAAAGCAATTTTCACTGCCTCAGCCTCCCCAGTAGCTGGGATTACAGGCATGTACCACCACGCCTAGCTAATTTTTGTATTTTTAGTAGACGAGGTTTCTCCATGTTGGCAAGGCTGGTCTCAAACTCCTGACCTCAGATGATCCGCCTGCCTCAGCCTCCCCCAGTGCTGGGATTACAGACATGAACCACCACACTAGGTCTGACAGTTATTTTAATCTTAATGATATTTATAATCTTGCTTCAGATCTTTAAAGTAATGAGAAGTTTGGTTAGTCTGTGTAGTGTTTTTTTTGGTTATTTTCTTTGAGACAGAGTCTCGCTCTGTTGCCCAGGCTGCAGTGCAGTGGCATGATCTTGGCTCACTGCAACCTCCACATCCCAGTTTGAAACCATTCTGAAGCCATTCTTCTGCCTCGGCATCCTGAGTAGCTGGATTACAGGCACATGCCATCACGCCAGCCTGATTTTCATATTTTTGGCAAAGACAGGGTTTCACCACGTCGGCCAGGCGGTCTTGAACTCCTAACTGCAAGTGAGCCACCTGCCGCGGTCTCCCAAAGTGCTGATATTACAGGCATGAGCCACTGCACCTGACCAGTGTGCATAGCTTTTAACATCGAATGTGTCTCTGTATTTCCCGTTCTCAGAGAATAATGTATACTAACCTCAGTCCTCAGAAGTTCCAGTATGGGATTTGATTAAAATATTTAATTACTAACAAGATTTTTCTTTCATCCATGAATAGTTATAATTTGAAAAGCTGTATAATATTAAGACTTGGAATTAGCTGTTCTTTGAGTCAAGCACCCTCACTTTATTAAAATCTCTTAATGATGTTTGCTATTATTATTTTAAAAATTTAATTATAGAATTAGCATCATCTAACTTTTAATTTAAATAGATTTGATCATGGTCTTGCCAGTTTTGGAAGAGCTAAGCATAGTTTGATTCACATTCTCCTGAGTGGTTCTCTTTTTTGTAGGGTTAATGGAAGATTAGATTTCTGATTACAGATGGGCTATCATTTCTGAATCCCATCAGAATCCCATTTCTGGAATCTCTGCCCTGCCACTTCTTAGATGTGTGACTTTGAGCAAGCTATTATTCTGTGAGCCCAAGTTTTCTCATCTGTAAAACGGCAAGAAGAATACCTGTTTGTCAACATTGTTGTGAGTTTTACTTAAGAATTTGAGTCAGAGTAGTAGGTAGTCAGTAAGAAGGTACCCAACGGAAGGTGATAAGTAAGATGCAGTTATTACTTAAACAGCAATATCAAACTTAAGTTAACCTTTAGAGTTTTTGTTGATTTTTTTTTTTTTTTTTGAGATGGAGTTTTGCTCTTGTTACCCAGGCTGGAGTGCAATGGCGTGATCTCGGCTCACCACAACCTCTGCCTCCTGGGTTCAGGCAGTTCTCCTGCCTCAGCCTCCCGAGCAGCTAGGATTACAGGCACATGTCACCATGCCCAGCTAATTTTTTGTTGATTTTAAAAAGTAAAAAAGTTTACTGATTTCAGTATAAATAGTAAATGATGTGTGGTTTTTGAAGATTTTTGCTCGACGCATTAAACAAGAAATGTTTATTTTGTATCTTCATATTCATGTTTCTTACAGGGTTTAGTTTATTACTGGATGTGTTTTGTGCTCTACATGGACCAAGAGAAAAATGTGTTGAAATTCTGAGGAGTGGCCACTTGTTAGCTATCTCACCAGGTGGAGTTCGAGAAGCCTTAATTAGTGATGAAACTTATAACATCGTATGGGGTCATCGAAAAGGCTTTGCTCAGGTTGCAATCGATGCAAAAGTGGTGAGTTGTATAAAATTAATTATTAAAGTAAAGCTTAGTTAAATTTAAAATAAATAGTTAAATAGCGAGTCAAAGTATATAAGAACTTAGTCACTTTCACTGCAGTACTTTAAAAATTAACGTATAGGCTGGGTTCGATGGCTCACGCCTGTAATCTCAGCACTTTCGGAGGCTGAGGCTGATGGATCACGATGTCAGGAGTTTGAGACCAGCCTGGCCAACATAGTGAAACCCCATCTCTACTAAAAATACAAAAATTAGCTAGGTATGGTGGTGCATGCCTGTAATTCCAGCTACTCGGGAAGCTGAGGCAGAAGAATTGCTTGAACTGGGGAGGTGGAGGTTGCAGTGAGCTGAGATTGCACCACTGCACTCCAGCATGGGTGACAGAGTGAGACTGTGTCTCAAAAAAAAAAAAAAGAGCTTTCGAATGCCATTTTGTTCTTTTATTTTGCCTTGGGAAAGTATTTCTCAGCCTTGGTCTCCATATTGTACTTTAGCCTAAGAAACACTTATCTACTACCTGTGGAATGTATCTCCTTTGTTTTCTGTTTATTTTCATTTTGATTGTCAGAAAAAGAAACTCTATTTGACAGAGTATTGTTCTTTTTCCAGGCCAGTTAGAGAATGCTGTCAGTAACTTAGTTTTTTAGGTATATAGAAAATGAATTATAGCACATTTCACTTATTTCCCCAAATCTTAAGCACTGTCGTAGAAAAACCTAGACCATATAAATAATACAGAATACAAAAGGACATATGCAGTTATACAAAATTTAAGAATAATCAATGTAATGTATATGAAAATGATAAAAGCTAAAATCCTAATCAGAGACGGTTCAGTTTTCAAGTTTAGATTTTGAAAGAATTGTTTCTTCAAAAGTTTAAGATAAAGATGACAAAAATAGATTTAAAATCACATAAATACACCATGGGATTCTAATTCCTCATCCTTAAGTTTACATTTTCAGCAACATATTGCTTAGAAGAAGGCCTGAAAGAGAAAAATGATACAGAGAAAAGAACTCTTTCTAATCCTTCAGTTTCCAGATAATTAATTAAATGATCTAGATAATTTAAGATTTTTATGTAAAACTTCAGAAAGTTTAAGAAATAGCTTTCATACATTTAAAAACAAATGAATCTTGTAAGTTTGATTAATATTGTGCCACCCCAACATCTCATAGCACTTTTAAACACTTTATCTTGTACTCCTGTACAGTAAGGAGGTGACACATATAATTATTCCAATGTTGCAGATGAGGAGACTCAGGCACAGAGAGATGGAGGGATGGAAGGGATCTTGTGACTCAGCAAGGCAGCAGCAGAGCAGAGCACACAGTTCAGAACTCGAGGCAACCGGTACTGTTGCCATTTCCGACTACATTGCACAGTGAGTCTGCTGACATCTGAGGCTGAAGGGGCTTCCCAGATACGTGAGGGAAATCTTTCAGTAATATATGTATAGAGTTGTAAGTGGCACAAGTATCCCATCTGGAAAATCCTTTAATAGGCCTCACAAAATTATCGTAAGCCGTGAACAAAAATTTAACACTGTTGTTACAGGATTAACTGTATTTAAATTGTGATATAGTAATAAAAATTAAAGGGGAAAAAGCCTGATTGTCAATGCAAGTTCACAAAATATTGGTAGAAAATAATAAGATTTATTTGAAGATGAGAGACTTTTTGATATAATACAAATCACTCTGGTTTTCTGAATTCTTGAGACTTAACGAGTTTGATAAGAACTTTTAGCTGATTTCATGTCTAAGTTGAGGAGAAAACCAGCCCATTTAATTGTAAAATAAATAGCATATATAAAAGAAAATAATGTTTTAATAAAATTATCTCACTATTAAAAGAGTTATCTCACTTTATCCATAAAAGACTTTGAGATAGGGATAATTATTATTATTTACCCCCATTTTATGCATGAAGAAAGTGAGACTTAAACATGGTAAGTAACTTGTACAGTGGTCCCACATTTTTAGTAACAGAGTTAAGACTTCAAAACCCCAAGGATAGTTTTTAAAAGTAAACATTCTTGGCTGGACATGGTGGCTCACGCCTGTAATTCCAGCACTTTTGGAGGCCAAAGTGGGAGGATCACTTGAGGTCAGGAGTTCGAGACCAGCCTGTCCAACATGGTGAAACCCCATCTCTGCTAAAAGTATAAAAATTAGCTGGGCCTGGTTCCAGCTACTCAGATGGCTGAGGTTGGAGGATGACTTGAGCCTGGAAGGCAGAGGTTGCAGTGAGCTGAGATCATGTCATTGCGCTGCAGCCTAGGTGACAGCAAGACTCTGCCTCCAAAAAAAAAAAAAAAAAAAAAAATGCACACACACATTCACTCCCCTGTCTCTCTTTCTCTCTCCCTTGCAAACATGCATGCACACACATACATACAGGCACACATTTTATATGTAAGCAATTGAATTCTGGGTTGAAGCCACAGTGAGCCATGATCACGCCACTGCAGTTCAGCCTGGGCCACAGAGTGAGAGTCTGTCCCCAACTGCCCCGCTAAAAATTCCCCGTGGAATCTCTGTCGTGCAACATGGAATCTCTGTCGTGCAACTTTTCTTCAGTGAGTGTACTATTCAGTAGCCCTAAAGCCAATTCAGTTTACTACATTTATTTTATTTAATGAAATTAATGATTACTGTAATCTCTATTTTGAGTTTCAAGGTTTGATGTGGACTGTTAGGAAAATTGGTCAATGAAATATTTCATATTACCACTGGAGGGTAGTGTTTCCAATTTCTATTTTTACAAAGGATCAAGTTGAATTTAGTTGATAAACTAATCATGTGTACCTTTATTTTAAAAATATTTTATTTTCATGATATCAAACAGGCTCTCAAAAGTTTGCATAATCACTTTGTGATCTCCCCACAAGCCCGCACTAATAAATTTGTGTACCTTTTCTCTTTCTCCCATGTCAGTACTAACCAGGCCCTACCCTGCTTAGCTTCTGAGATCAGACGTGACTGGGCATGTTCAGGGTGGCATGGCCATAGACGCCTTTTCTCTTTCTTAATAAAAAAAGTTTGCATGAGTTACTCTAATGGAGACATTGAATGGGTGAATTTATTCACTTTTTAATTCAAATTCTCTGTTTCTTTAGCCCATTATTCCTATGTTTACACAAAACATTAGAGAAGGATTTAGATCGCTTGGAGGAACAAGTAAGTTCTGATTCATATGGTTTTTAATTACAATGCAATTTTTAAAATATTTGGGCTGTTGAACTCTACAAGGAAACCTTTTGAATTATTATCTTTAGAAAACGGGTATACTATTCAGACGTTTTTCTGTTTAAAGTCCAAGTGATAACTAGCTCTAAGTAATGGCAGTTCTTAATGCTGTGTTTTTGTTGAGAGTATCATATACATACTGAAGTTCTTCAAATGGGCTTTTAAAAACTTGATAGTGAATTAGCTAGTTTATTGTTTTAAACCATGGTGATGAAGTTTAGAATATATTTACAAACTGTCCAACTATCTTTTTAACTCACCCCAGAAGTTACAGCTTTAAAAATGGATGACAATATGGTATTGAACTAAGATTAACTACCTAAGGAAATAGCATTTGCTTTGGTTTATTTCTGTCACTTTTTGTTCTTTGTAAAAATATTTTGCACCATAATACATTTACACTGGAAAATTCTTTTTACCTGTCCATAATTTATAGATTTTAAAAATCAGCTTTTAAATGTTGTTATAGCAATGTCAATGATTAGATGTGCTTTTTCTTTCTTTTTTTTTTTTTTTTTTGAGATGGAGTTTTCACTCTTGTTACCCAGGCTGGAGTGCAATGGCGCGATCTCGGCTCACTGCAACCTCCGCCTCCTGGGTTCAAGCAATTCTCCTGCCTCAGCCTCCTGAGTAGCTGGGATTACAGGCACGTGCCACCATGCCCAGCTAATTTTTTGTATTTTTAGTAGAGACGGGGTTTCACCATGTTGACTAGGATGGTCTCGATCTCGCGACCTTGTGATCCACCCGCCTTGGCCTCCCAAAGTGCTGGGATTACAGGCTTGAGCCACCGCGCCCGGCCCTAGATGTGCTTTTTCTTTGCAATACTTGTTTTCTTATTTTGAAGTATTCAATTTGTTGTACTCTATGGTTTGTATATTACATTTAATTGATTATATTATATATTCATAGCATTATTATTATTTTTAATTCTAGCACTATTATTTTTAATGTTTCTATCCACTTACAAGTCGCCTTCTGAAGACCTTTAAACTGCCTTTGTTTCTTTTATGTGTAACATTGCTATTTTGTTAGTACTGCATTCTGTTTTTTAAGTCTTTTTTTTTTTTTTTTTTAATTGGATTTAAAGTGGAAAGGAAGATTGATGAGATCTTTAACTTTTGTTGTGGATTTCTTTTTTTTTTTTTTTTGAGACGGAGTCTCTGTATTGCGCAGGCTGGAGTGCAGCGGCATGATCTCAGCTCACTGCAGCCTTCACCTCATGAATTCAAGTGATTCTCTCGCCTCAGGCTCTAAAGTAGCTGGGACTATAGGCAGGTGCCAGCACTCCTGGCTATTTTTGTATTTTTAGTAGAGACAGAGTTTTGCTATGTTGGCTAGGTTGATCTCGCACTCCTGACCTCAGGTGATCCACCCCCTTCAGTCTTCCAAAGTGTTGGGTGTGAGCCACCGTGCCCAGCCTATTCTAATTTTTTCTTGGCTCATTTGTTTAGAATTTAGTAGCAAGTCAGAAATTATTCCAGAAGTTTTGTTTATTTTTCCTGTGCCTTTTTTTTTTTTTTTTTTTTTTTTTTACTTTTTTTCACTTTAAAGTTGAATAGTCCAAAAATTAGTATCTAGTGATGGTGTGTGTGTGTATGCATGTGTGACCTGTAGGATAGGGTGTATTCTGTGTTTTGATGTGTAAGAATCCTTTCAACTTTGGTGAGACCCATGACTGTGTGTTCCTTATGGTCTGCCTGTTTTGGATTCCTTTGATAACATTTCAGATTTTTTAAAAAAATGTAGTCCATCAGTTTATTTTTATGTTATTACCACTTTTATTTAATCCTGCTAAATTTCAGATTTGTTCATTAGCATTAGTCATTATTTGCTTTCATGTGTTTCGTTTTTCCTGGTTCATAATAATGTTTTGTCTTTACTTAGTTTCTTTGCATTGTAGTCTCCTGTTTACATAAATTTATTTTTCCTTTTTTTGGTCTTTAAGTTATGTTTTGTGAGTCTCTAGACTTTTTCACCTCTAGTAATTTTCGTAACAGTGTAGGCTTTGTTTTGTAATAGTAACTTGTTTGCCTTTTAAAATTCCTGTGTTTTTATTTATTTATTTACTTTTAATTTAATTTTGTTAAGTTCCTGTACTTTTAAAAGCTCACTAAAAAAATAATAAATAGACTTTTGGGGGGGAATTTTTAGGTTTATAGAAAGTAGAGAGTTCTCGCCCCAGTTTCTCCTGTTACTAACATCTTGCATTGGTGGGATATATTTGTTACAATTGATGAAAAGCTCTTCTTTTTAAAAAAATTGTACTAATTGCCAAGAAGTGATACTTTTTGCCACCTTCCTGTAAGTCCTACGTCATTAATTTGAAAGTTTACAATTACATGATCAGAATATTTAACAAGTTAAAATGATTGTGTACTCTAAAACAGGGTTATTTAGATGGCTTTATGAAAAGTTCCGCTATCCATTTGCTCCAATGTATGGAGGTTTTCCAGTGAAGTTACGGACCTATTTAGGTGACCCCATTCCGTATGACCCAAAGATAACAGCAGAAGAATTAGCTGAAAAGGTAAATTAATTTTTTTTTTTTTTTAGTTTTAGGACATATTTTTATTTTCAGTCATTATATTTTGAATGTCATTGATTTAGTTTTATATTCTACAAGCATGTTCTGGGTCAGTGGTTCTCCACCAGAGGTGATTGTACCCCCTAGGGACCATTTGCTAATCTCTGGAGACTTACTGTCACTACAGGCAGGAGTTGGGGGTGGCAGGAGGGGTGCTACAGACTTTTAATGGGTGGAGTCCAGGGATAGAATTGATGGTAACTGTTGGATAGGAATATATATCTATGCATAGATTTTTGGAAATATCGAACTGAAATTTGGGAGAAAGTCAGAATTGATGATGGAGATTTCAGTCATTTGCACGGAGAGAGTTACTTAAGCCGTGAGCTTTATAAGGCAGATGAGAGAGAAAGCCGAGGACAGACTGCAGGAGATGTAGCACTGAAGAAGAAGGCCGAGGAAGGAAAGCTCCAGAGCTGACGGAAAGGGCACCGGCAGAGAACAAGTCCGTTTGTGTGACAGAGGTTAGCAGGTGAGGTTGTATTAAAAAATGGGAATGGTCAGTAATATTAGTTTTTGCAAAGAGATCAAGGAGGATGAAGAGTAGAAAAGACTGCCTACCTTGTAATTATACTTTCAGAGAGTATAAAACTACAAAAAAAGGAAAAAGAACACATGTTAGGTTCTCTTTTTTTTTCTTTTTTACTCCATTCTTGTTAAATGCAATACATGTCATGTTAACTGAATCACTTAGAAAATGGGACGAATGGGCCAGGCTTGGTGGCTCACACTTGTCATCCCAGCAGCTTGGGAGGCTGAGGTGGGAGGATACCATGAAGCTAGGAGGTCAAGCTTACAGTGAATTATGATTGTCACCGCACTAATTTTGTATTTTTAGTAGAGATGAGGTTTCACCACATTGGTCAGGCTGGCCTCGAATTCCTGACCTCCAGTGATCACCTTGGCCTCCCAAAGTGCTGGGATTACAGGTATGAGCCACTGCACATAGCCAAAGGGGCATATTTTAAAAATACATAGTTGGGCTAGTGTTTATTAATTTTCTTTAAAGGTTAAAGTCTAAAAAAGGAAATACATATGTGTGTATGCATGAACTATGCATACACATATACATATGCATATACATGGTACATATATCAGAATTTTAAATAGCCATAAACCAATTTAAAAATAAAAATTGGCCAGGCATGATGACTCATGCCTATAATTCCAGCACTTTGGGAGGCCGAGGCAGGAGGATCCCTTGAGTCCAGGAGTTCAAGACCAGCCTGAGCAACACAGTGAGACCCTGATATAATTGTTCAGTATGTGTGGTGATAAAATAAAAAATACATTAGAGTTTACTAACGGCTGGAAAGGACTAAGTCTTCCATTTGCCTACTTGAAAATGTTCTACATTTTTTTCTTTTTTCTTCTTTAAGTTCCCTATAGTGTTTATCATGTGTGAGTCATTGCTGTGCTTAATGCTGGAAAAATACTAAGATGTATCTTAAGGAGCTTACAGTCTGGTATAGAAAAGAGACATGTAGACAACAACTATAATTGAAGGCTTAATAATATAAGTATAAGAAATATGCTGCAGCCAGGCACGGTGGCCCTTGCCTGTAACCCCAACACATTGGAAGGCTGAAGTGGGAGAAGTGCTTGAGCCCAGCAGTTTGAGACTAGCCTGGGAACATAGTGAAACCCTGTTTCTATAAAAAAATATTAAAAATATATGCTTTGGGTTTACTGAGAAGGAAATTATTAATTCTGAGGGGTGATGGGAGGTAAGTCGAACCATATTAAGATCTACAATAACAATAGCTTTTCTTCTGTTTTCTTAATAGACAAAGAATGCTGTTCAAGCTTTGATTGATAAGCACCAAAGAATACCAGGAAACATTATGAGTGCTTTGTTAGAACGTTTTCATTGATAACAAAGGGTCAACTAGAAGATGATTTAATACATTTATATTAAATGTTTGCATCTAAGGTACTGTCTTCTGAATTTTGTAGGTCCTACAATTAGTATTTTTTTAAAAATCATGTTAATAAGCATCTTTCACAGAACTCCTTTGTTTAAAATTATATTGTCAATTTTGTTTTTGCAATTGTGTCAAATACTAACAAATTACATGCCTAATAATTCAGAAAAAGATGTTTTGTTCGTAAATTCCTAATAATGTATGCTAAACATATAGATTCTTAGTTAATAACAGCAGTTTAGGTTAAACAAACATTCCTGGATAATGCATTGAATTTCTGTATCTTTTGCCTTGCGCTGATTTTGAAAGATGGCATAAGCTAGGGGTTAGCATAGCTGCTTAAGTTAGAAAAAACACGCTGTTGTCTGTCCCTCATTCCCTTCATGACCTTGGGCAAGTCACGTAATGTTTTTATGTCTCAACAATTCTGTTTTAAAAACATCATGTGTGAATAATATTATTTTAAGTTCTTTATATTTTCTGTGATGGATAACTGTTGAACCAAAATTACAACAGAATTAATTTAAATAATGTCAGAATTCTTTAGGAGTTACGTATATATTTTCTCCATTGTGTGTTTAAATTATGTCTTCAGGTATCATGTCCAGTTGCCAAGCACAATGAAAAAGATGCATTGTTTTTTTAAATGGAGTAAAAGAAATTAGGAAAAATAAAATTTCTAATTATTTTTAGTATGATATTTTTAACAAGAGTCTATAAGAAAACAATATAGGTTCTGCTGTGCATTGTCAGCTGTATACTATGGTCTTAATAATGCCAGGTTAAAAATCACTGTTGTGCTCTGCATTTCGTGTGCTAGAAGCTGATTCTAGGCTGAGGAAAGCAGAGTTCTCTACTTCTGCTCAGTATTGAGGCTTACCCAGTTTGACTTTGCAGTCAATGAAGTGGTTTATTGCTTCAATAAAAATATACTTGAATAATGAATTTATTTATTTTTGTTTTGTTTTTATTTAGAGATGGGTTTTTGCCATGTTGGCCAGGCTGGTCTCAAACTCCTGACCTCACGTGATCCACCCACCTCAGTCTCCCAAAATGCTGAGATTACGGGCAGGAGCCACTGCGCCTGGCCTGAATGATGGATTTATATGAACACAAAGCCCTCTGAAAAATTAATGATTTCAATTGTTATCTTCTTGAAAACTAAATTTAAGTGTTATTTAAACAGAAGAGTATCAGAAATCAAATGTAGTATCTCTCTCTTCCTTTTTTAAATGTTAAATTACTAAGGTTTTTGCATAGCTTTTGTATTGTGTGTATTTATGACATGTGAAATGTATATAAAATTAAACAATGTGAAAATAAACCTGAATTGCAGTTAATTTTCTTGTAAAATTACATGTGACATTTTAAAAATCTTTTTTTCTTTTTTTTTTGAGATGGAGTCTCACTCTGTCCGTTGCCCAGGCTGGAGTGTAGTGGTGCGATCTCTGCTTACTGCAACCTCCACCTCCTGGGTTCAAGCCTTGCTCCTGCCTCAGCCTCCTGGGTAGCTGGAATTACATGTGTGCACCACCATGCCTGGCTAATTTTTGTATTTTTAGTAGAGACAAGATTTCACCATATTGGCCAGGCTGGTCTTGAACTCCTGATCTCAAGCAATCCACCTGCCTCAGCCTCAGCCTCCCAATGTTCTGGGATTACAGGCATGAGCCACTGCACCCACCCTAAATAATCATATTAAATTGATTTTTTTGTTGTACTCTTTACATAGTTCACACCTACAATCATATTATTTTATCTAGCCACAATGAAGAAACCTTAGTTTCCAGTGTAATAAATTTTAATTTTGTGGTCAATGAGAAGAGTCAATTAATGATTATTTGAACTCCCCCCACCCAGCAGTGAAGAGTGTTCTGTTCAAAATTGATGAAATATTTCAGAATAAATGAATAAATGATCATAAAATGAATGAGAAGTTTGTTTCGGGCCGACTATTGAGTTTTAAAGACTCAAGTTAGCCGAGAGTGGTGGTGTGCACCTATAGTCTCAGCTACTTGGAAGGCTGAGGTGGAAGGATTGCTTGAGCCCAGGAGTTCAAGGCTGCAGTGAATCGTAATTGTGCCGCTGTGCAGCCTGGATGATAGAGCAAGCCCCTGGCTCTGTTAATAAAGACTAAAGAAAGAACATTATTTATTGCTAATGTGGCAAAAGCTTTTTACAGTATTTAAGTTTTACTGCTTTAACTGAAACCTTTTTTTTAAAGCCTGATACTCAGACTAACATCCATGTTTCTTATCTCAATTGTTAAGATCTTTGTCTTTGCTATTTGAGTTTAATTCCCATAAGAGTCAGAGAATATGACTAAATAGAGAAATATGGCTGGGCATGATGGCACACACCTGTAATCCCAACACTTTGGGAGGATTGCTTGAGGTCAGGAGTTTGAGACCACCTGGGCAACTTAACAAGACCTCTTTAAAATTTTTTTCAAATTAAGCTGGGTGCAGTGGCTCACACCTGTCATCTCAACACTTTGGGAGGCTGAGTCAGTTGGGTCACTTGAGTCCAGGAGTTCCAGGCCAGCCTGGGCAAACCCCTGCCTCTACAAGAAACCCTGTCTCTACTGAGCCACAAAAATCAGCTGAGTGTGGTGATGAACACCGGCAGTTACTGCTACTTGAGAGGCTAAAGTGGGAGGTTGATCCTGGAGAGGTTAGGGCTGCAGTGAGTCATGACTGTCCCACTGCACTCCAGCCTTAGCAACAGAATGAGACCCTGTCTCTAAATAAATAAATAAATACAAGTAATGGAAAGAATGTGTATTAGGTCTTTTTTTCCCATAAGTTTTCTTTCCCTTCTGACTTCTATTCACGTGTTTTGATCCTTTTGAGGACTGTTCACAGTCAGAACCTGATGCAGGCATGAAGGGCCTCTCTCCAGAAGTATAAACATAGCGTACTTATGGGAAATTTTTCATACTCATTTTTAAAAACTTTCATTCTGAAACAATTTGAAGCTTATAGAAACGTTGCAATTGCAGGGCAGAGTACTCCCATATACTCTTTACCCAGATTCACCAATGTAATATGTCACATTTGTTTTATTCTTTTCACATTCCTGTTGCCCTTGCTGTCTCCATGTATATATCTATACTTTTTCTCCTGGATCATCTGACAGGAAATTGCAAATACCACGCCCCTTATTGTTATCTGGACTGAGATCCATTTACAGAACCACAAGACAATGATCAAAAAAAATCAGAAAAATCAGGATGGATACAATAAATACAGTCTAAATAAAAGTTACTATCTATAGACCATATTTAAATATTACCAGTTGTCTCAGTAATATCATTTACATCAATTTTTCTTCTTGATTCATCCAAGAAAAGATCACACACTGCATTTAATTGTCCTGTTTCTTTAGTCATCTTTGATCTGGAATGATTCCTCAGCGATTCTTTGTCTTTAATGATAGTGACCTTTTTGGCGAGGGGGGACCATTTGTTTTGCAGATAAGCCCTCAGTTTGTTTTTGCCTCACATTTCATTATGAGTTGATTCAGACTATGCATTATTTTAGGAATACAACGCGCATGATGCTGCGGCTCTCTCCAGGGTGTCACATCAGGAGGCACATGTTGGTTTGTGTCAGTAGTGGCAGTAACTTTGATCACTTGGTTGAGATGGCATTCGCCAGATTCCTTCCCGGTAGTTATCATTTTTCCCTTTGTAATAAGGAAACTTACTTTGAGATTCTTAGAGATTCTGTATGGTCATGCATTGATTAATGATGGGAAGGTATTTGAGAAATTCATTGTTAGGTGATTTTATCATTGTCTTTGGCTGTATGGTGTAACCTGTTGCTTCTAGTCTACAAACCTGAAGACCATGTGACCATACTGAATATTGCGATTGCAACACCATAGTATTTGAGTATTTAAACACAGCTAAACATAGAAAAGGTGCTGTAAAAATAAGGTATTATAATCTTATGGGACCGTTGTTAAATATTCAGTTTGTTGACTGAAACGTCACTGTAGCACATAACTGCATGTAACTGTTGCTCATCAAACTTTAACTCGTTAACTTGTTTTAGCATCTTTTGAATTGATTCTTGTGTGAATAAATTATTACTCGGGTTCAAGAGTGATTTTTCTATTTTTCTCTTATCCTATATTTACTAGTTGGCTTTTTTTTTTTTTTTTTTTGAGACAGGGTCTCACTCTGTTGCATACAGTGGTGTGATCTTAGCTCCCTGCAGCCTTCTGAGTTCAGGCATTTCTCATCTCTCAGCTTCTCAAGTAGCTGGGACTACAGGCGTGCGCCACCACACCTGGCTGCACATTACACCTTCCCCCAAAGCCAACCCAACCCAACCAAAACCCTAGTTAAGGCCAATTTGTGTTGACATATCTTAAGGGAATTTTCTTTCTGTATCTCAGCATCAAGATTAAGATAAGAAGGTTGCAGCTACCAGTTTAGTCAAGCCATGTGAGGGTAGCTGCCCTCTGGGCTGCAGCTTTCTTACTTTGGAAGAGCTTTTTTCCTGTGCCCTACGCAGCGAAGAACAAAGAAACTAGTGGCTGGCAGTTTGATGAGGATCAGACATGCACATAGCTTCAAAGTGTTTCTCCGTAAAGTACTTATTCATTATAAAGGGAAAAAATAATGACTTCATAGAGAAGAAACCTGGTGGATGCCATCTTAATCAAGTGATCAAAGTTACCACCATGACTAATGACACAAACCAACATTATATGCCTCCTGATGTGATGTGACATTCTAGAAAGAACACAGCCTCATTTATACAGTATTTCTGCCAACAAAGCATAACCTGCATTTTTGTGTTAAAGTTGATTACACCTCGCATTGTTAAAAATGATTTTGGAGTTTTCTCTTCATAAAATTTTCAGGTTGTAAAGTTGACAGTCTGTTTTGAATTCACTTTTACAAGTTGTAAATGTTTGCAAATACGTTTTTTTTTTTCTGTAAGATTTATTTCCTAGCTGGTTAACCTAGATAAATTCATTTTCCAAAGGTTACTTTGTTTACTGTTGTGGTACCTGTACACTAAATAATCTATAAGGATTAGACTTGACATAAATTGATGTTTATTTTACATATTTATAAACACTTTTGGCTCGAATTATGAAAAAGTTTTTCCTAATGTTTTCTGATGGATGTGCTGTCTCTTAAAATTCTCTTTCGCTGTCAATTGATTTCCTCATTTATTTAGCTATTTAAAAGTTCTTTATAATGTTTGTATTGATAAACCAAGTGCTTTTACTCTTACAATAAAAATATACACTTACATTTCCACTCACAATGCACTTAAAGAAAATTTTCAATCCTGGTTACATTTAAAATAGTTACTGAGGCTGGGAACCGTGGCTAATGCCTGTAATCCCAACAGTTTGGGAGGCCGAGGTGAGCAGATCACCTGAGGTCAGGAGTTCGAGACCAGCCTGACCAACATGGAGAAACCCCATCTTTACTAAAAATACAAAATTAGCCAGACGTGGTGGCACATGCCTGTCATTCCAGTTACTTGGGAGGCTAAGGCAGGAGAATCGCTTGAACCTGGGAGGCAGAGGTTGTGGTGAGCTGAGATCACACCATTGCATTCCAGCTCGGGCAACAAGAGAGATACTCCATCTCAAAAAAAACAACAAAAGTTACCTATATTTGTAAGTAATTATTTGGATATTGACAATATCTGAATCAAAACCCCATTGATAGCATCTACTATAGCTGAACATTCACACATTGCCTGAAACGGGAAAGGAGGGCTTACGTCCTCCGACAGGCATGTTCATAGCAGTTTAGTCATAAAATCCCCAAACTGCCTATCAACAGTAGTGTCTCTCAACAGGAGAATGGGTAAGGACATTTTAGTATAGTTATTCAATCAAGCAGTGGAAAAAAATCAACTATTGCTTTATGCACCAACGTGGATAAATATCACAGACTTATTGATAAAGAAGTCAGAAATGAAAGGCTGAAAATCGTATGAACCACATATGTGAAGTCAAGAATAGACAAGACCAACCTATAGTAACAGATGTCAGAATGATGGTTACCTTTAGAGTTTACCAAGTGCAGAAGATGGATGTAGAATTCTGGGATGTTGAAAGTATTCTCTATATTGATTTGGATACAATTTAAAAGGATATGTACCTGTCTAGAAAGTTATCAAGCTGTGTAATTAAGATGTATGTATTTTACTATATGTAATCGATACCGTACTTCAATTAAAAAATCTGAATGTCTTTGTTATTGCTTAATGTTATTGTATTGATTAGGTTTTAGTCTAAAATATCACACTGGATTGATCGCACAAAAATTCATGACATGCCAGATAG